CTTAAGCTGCTGTGTGGAGGATTTGAGTGTGTTAAAAGGTCCAAGAATGACAAAGTAATATGGGGGCTGGCAAGTATATAAAATATATAAAAATATAAATAAATAAATAAATTTTAAAAATCTAATTCACACAATTTATTCCTCACCCCAAATGTAGCCAGAAAGTCAAGATAGGTTTGGCATCTGAAGTTTGCTTCTTTAGCTTTGCACTGAAGCTATGAAGCTAATGTAGCTAACAAGTAATGTGAGCTTATATAAACCAATTAGCATCGTGTCTAAATCATCACACACTTGCCTCAAACCATGTTGAGCTGTTAAGTGATCTCAAATGGACTTGCTCAGTGGGGAACCCTCAGGGCCTTCTACGGTCAGGGTGAGGGTTAGAGCTCTCTACTGAAAGAGTCACTGAAACTGCTACAAGGTCAAATATTTGCCAATATGTCTGTTAAAAGCTTCAAATAAAACACTGAATGTGCTTTAGAAGCTCCAAATTTTCATGTTTAATCTAGAACAGCCAAAAAGTGCTAACATGAATCGCTGTTAGCACTGAAACTAGTACAATCCCATAGCAATGCTAGCAGAAGTTAGCATTATCATAAAAGTGGGATTTTCCTATGTTTTCCCCCTTGTTTTGACTGATTTTTTATATGTATGGTCCGAATTGAAGCCCCTAGCTCTAATTGTCAGGGTATGTTACTGGATTTGCTTATGTGGTATGACACTGTATGGCTTACTGTTATCTATAAAAAATTATAAATCCATATAACAGTTGACACCTAATGTCAGCCCAAAGTTGAAAACAGTTTTTTGTTTTTTTTTGTTTTTTTTATCAGTAGCGGTGAAAATATTAGTGATGACGTGGTGATAATTAGTAACTTGTTTCAGTCACAGCATTGCCAGGGTTCAAACTCCCTTTTGAAGATAGAGAAAGATGGCTGCTTCACTGGGGAGCCCAATATGAGGCAACCCTTGTTTAACTACATGACCACAAAACAGGCTGGACTTGTGAACATGAACACAAATCACGATCATTATCAATATAACAAAAGCATGTAAAACAAAGCTAACCTTTAGGATGAGAATGACATGTTAAAAACCGCAAAGAATTCTGGGTAGATCCGCCCATAGTGCTATCATACTTAGATTATTTAAGACTGTGAGCTTTTCAGTTTAAGAAGTGTGACCATTGAAAGCTGACAATCATACCTGACAGTAAAACACTGCTTAACTAACACGACTGGAATTTAAACTTAAAACAGCTATAAAAGTGTATCAGACAATATTATCAGAATTTTAGCCCCCTAAAAGCAATACTGACAACAATTTTCATATCAGGCCCTAATAAAAAAGTACAAAGTTCTAGCTTCAACATGGCTGCTATAACTCTTTATCTAGGAAAATTGTGTACATTTTCATCAAACTATTCCATTAAACCACAAAAGGAGAGTCGTCAGAAAGGAGAAATGTCTGATATATGATGATATACCTATGGGAAAATTTACGTAAATTATATTTTTGGATTAACTATTGATTTGACCAGTTGTCTGAAGAATTATGTCTAAAAACTTGAAAAACCTCCCAGCGGTAGGTTTTAGCACGTCCTAAATAACATCGGACAAGTGAGATAAAAATGTCAAGAGAGGGAAAAACTGTCATTCAGCAAATATTTTTTCATTCTGACTGAGAGAGTAGCGCATAATATTCACCATCCGCTCTCCCCCCGCTCCACTAACTGACCCTTTAACCCACGTATTCCTTTGAGGAAGTAGAGAGATGCAGATCAACTTACTCCTAATCTCCAGAACTGGCCTTTGGCCCAGATCAATCAAGGTTAACTTACAACCGGCCGACACGCTTAAATCTCCACACATCACTCAAAGAAATGGATACCTTCCCCTTGCTTTTTGCCACATAAATCTTGATTCAGGATAGTGTTCAAGGTCGAGGTGATACACTGTGTCCATGAGGGATTTTTTTCCTGTTCGTGAAGCCTCTGGGCAACGACAGTAAGATGAAATGAATGCTGGGATTGAGTCACAAAACACTTTTACACAGGATACCACTGTGCGGAAGCTTGCGCAAGCATATTGTTGTATTCACAAGCTTAGTTTTATATGAAGACAAGACATCTGCTAGCCAAGCATTTCAGATCAGATTTCTTGGGGCGTGGGCATGTTTGGAGTCTCATGAGAGAAATTACTGTAACTGTTCTCCGCATGCTAAAAGCACAACAGTAGACCCGCCTGAAAGTTTAATATCATATTCCATTGAAAGTGGCCCACTGACTGCCAATAACGCCATATGTACTCAGTGTATTGGGGGGAAAAGGATAAGTGAAGCTAAGGTCACCTACATTTGCAATTATCCAAGGAGAGGTCAGTCCAATGCCATTAAAACCAATGAGCTGATTTCAGTAACACTGGATCCTGGTGATTTTCTGCCTCAGAGGAAGCAGGTGTTCGCCAACGGAGAAAAGCATTAATCACAAGGCACCCCATTAGCTTTATCGGAACATTTGAGCTCTGTATCGTCACAGCTACTTCAAAAGACGCTCATCAGATCAGCAGAGCAATATCATCACCCAGTATACATCAGCAGCAGTGTCTAATGTAGACTACAATAGACCAAGCCACTATTTGTCATGTCTAAAAAAGATAAAAAGTGTCGTTCCTGTCATTTTTTATTGTTTCCCATCATTCATATGCCATAATAGATTGTTGAAGATAATACAGCTGCACAACACACAATTCCAAGTGTATTAAAAATAAAAAAAAAATCTGATTTAGTGGAGATATTCTTGGCTACCAATGACTTGAATGAATGTTACAGTAACATCACTTTTTTTTAAAGCAGACTGGATGCGCAATCAGCCAAGAAGAATCCCAATGGCTGCAGTGCTTGGCATGAACCATACCTCCAAATGCACTTGTATTTATTACTCCACATCAATAAAAAATCAGAATACTAACATGTAGCCTAGTAGGTCTTGGTCAGGGCAAAAATGAAAAGCAATGTGAGTTGAGAAGTTTCATTTTAGTTTGACCTCAGTAATCATTTGGCTTCTTCTTGGCTGACTGCACATTCAGTCTGCTGCACACCTTAAAAATGAAATCTTGTTGCTGTAGCCAGGCCTGTCAGTCAGACGGATTTATTTGGAGTGCTCACATTAATTAAAGCTGCAATCATTTTCCACAGTTTTTTACAATCATATTTACTTTGCTTCAAACACAATGCGTTTCAGTCAGCTGGGTTGAGGTAAATACACGTAAACAAAGGAAAGCAGAAAACACATTTATGGAAACACATCATAGGTCTTAGGAAAACAACTATCCTTCAGACTGTGCTATAACACCTTTAGAGGGCAGCAGTGAGCAATGTTTGTTTATTTGAGCTTGAGCCGTGTCAGCTGGGAGCTACTAAGTGTTGATAGCCAGGAAGTAAGATAATCAGCTGGAAATTGTTCAAATAATGTAAATAATCACAATTATTTGTCACTTAACCTTCAAAAAAATTCAATCATGGCAGGTCTGCCTGTAGCTTCTTGTCAACGATAGTCAAAATGTCAACATGCCAGACTAGTCGGCCTTCATCAGTGCAAAAGCAACTGCCAATTAAGCACTTAATAACCTGATTAACTGCAGAAAATCAGATTTTGTCAATAATTTGTTCAATGCATTTGCATGCACTTGGGTAATCAGACAATGGGAAAACTCCAGGCCTAAATGAGTGAGGCAATGATTGGATTTCTGCTTTGCAACTGCCAAAAAACTCTCACGTAAACGTAACGTAAAACTCAAACGTTATGCCGCAGCTATTTTTTGAGTCATTTGACATTTAAATATAAATACACATCATCTAGAAGACGAAATGAACAATATTCAAATTCTTCATTTCGTCAAACATGTGGTTGGTTCCAGCTTCACTCCAAAAGGTTTCTGTTGCCATTTTGAGGGTGCTGTGTTAAATGCTGCTTGCTGTTTCCAGCGCTCTATTTTCGCACGAGTAGACTGAGAAAAATGAAAGAAATCAGAGTAAGGGTATAAATGTGCTGAAAAAGCCGATTACCAAGCTAAAATCCAGCTCTTTTTATGGGATTTGTAGAAATACAATAACGGCCTTAATTCGATCTAAGAAATGGAAGTATACTGCTTACATGACCGCTTTAATAATCAGATGCCCGCGTTGGCTAGCATCTCACTGAGTGATGTGAGGGCCTTCCTAACACCCCAGTTATGCTTTCTTAGACTCCCAGCAACTGATGGCTGTGGTGTCTCTGAGGATCAAACTCACAATCTCCTAAGGAAAGTATTTCAAATTGCTCTAAAATGTGAGGAAGGCCACTCTTTTTCTAGACTTTGAACGCTGCTAATTGTCTACTGCTGATTGTCTATTAGCTGCTCACTCACAATGTACTTTGAGCTAGTTTAACCAGGTGTTGACAAGGCATTAACTGCCATTACACATGTTAACACAAGTGGATTTTAGGCTGTATTCTTTTTCTGAATGGTTCCTCACTGAAGACATTTAAACCTCTTCTCGACTTCTGAAAATGTGCCTCACTGCTCATGTTCATTTATATTTCCTGCCTGACAGCGGTGTGAATAGAGTGCTGTGGGGTAAAACAATCTTAAAGTATAAGAATTTGATCAGGCTAAATAAATCTAACACAGATCCACTTCTACAGCAATCATTAAGGTTGAACTGTGACATCCCTTGACAAAAAGAACCCAGAGAAATGAGACAAAAAAGGCTAAAACTGATCTCACGCCAGAAAACACCACACTGCTGGAGTGATCGAACAGGGAGCAGCAGGTTTGAGGACAAAGTGAAGACTGTGACAGGTCAGAACCTTAACCTTTCAACCTTGGAGCATGACAGACAACTTGTAGCAATGGTTCGTGGTGATGATGGCCTTCAGTCCACTGATAATGGAGGAGCAGTTGATGATGTTAATGGGGATGGATGGATGGATGGAGGATGGAGGTGAGGGTCAGACCCACCCTGGTGGTGCTGGTCACTGCAGGCTGTGGCTGAGCTGCTCTGTCCAGGGGAGGGCTGGGATGGCAGTGGGGGCGGATCCTCTGCCGCCTCCACCAACGGGGAAGTGGTGTTGAGCTGGCCCACAGGAGGGGGCCACGGCAGGTCCTTTATCACTTTAATCTCTACTGCAGGGCCAGAGAGAGGGAGAGAGAGAGGGAGAGAGAGAGAGGGAGAGAGAGAGGCAGAGAAGAAAACAAGGAAAGGAAGAAGAGAAGAAAGGGAAGGGAAAGGGAGAAGAGACAGATTTTCAGTGAGTGAAGGAAAGTGTTGAAGGTTAGTTTAAGCAGGTTCAGTGCAACAGTCAGGCAATAGAAATCAGGAAATGACAGGAAAGGAAGGAGAACTGCACTGGAAAAAAAGGGAAAATTAGCAAAGATGAGTCTAAAAAGGGTCTCTCTCTCTCTCTCTCTCTCTCTCTCTCTCTCAAAGTTTCTCACTCTCTAAGCATGGGATTATGTCTGGATTGGATTAACTAATATTGAGTTCAGAAGCCCTCATTACTCTTCAGGATTCAGGAGAGCGCAGAAAAAAAAGACAATTTCTTTTCACAAAGCAGAGAGCAAGATCCCCCAGAGGACGGCACATCAAAGAGCATGCGTCTGGATCGTGGTCTCTCTTAAAACACTGAGAGCAATGCTGCACCAGCTAATACAGAACCACAGCACTGTGACAGCAGCTGCACGAGAGAGTCTAGAGGAAAAGCGCCTGATCCCTAGCCAAGCGAACCCAAAACTACTTCCACAATAAAGACACAAAGAGGAATCATTTCCTTCTGTTGTCTTCAATTGTCACCCTGTTTAGCTTCAATAAATTGTTTTAAATTATTTATCTGAGCAATGTGCGTGTTTTTACCAGTAAAAACACTATGTAACAGAATAAATACAAACATCAATGCAGTAAAATATGAACTTATTCATTTATTCATCTCAGGAGTTAGTTAGAGGAACAAAGCTTTGGTCTCCTTGATGTCCCCTGCCATCACATGGATTTGGACATGTATATGGAATTCCATATTCCATACTTGAGTTTAATGAAGTATTGATTCGCCAAACCAGGTACTGGATGATAACTTTAATACCACTAAGCTGCCATGAGGAGAGGTTTGGAAATGGTCAAACAAACCCATTAACATACACAAAATCACTACCATTGTTACATATTTACTACATATTTATATATACTCTAATATTTATGTTCTTCTGAAGAAATAAATGCTTCCTGCCAAGATAAATATCTCTTTAATTATAATTTACTCACATGAAACAAACTCAGTTTTTCAGTATTTAGATTTATTTTGATTTATAAATGTTATTTTTGTCCGTTTCCTTTTCTCAGTAAGGGCTTCTTGACAGCTACACATCCTTTCCTTTCTCCTCTCTCTCAAAGATGGAAGCTTTCAGTGCTGTTAATCGGATGGGGATGGTTTTGGTGATCTTACACGGATCAGGAGCCCCATTTTCTCTTTGCCTTTTAACAATTTTTTGAACTCCAGTTTTTGGAAACTCTTTTTTCTTATTTTTCTTTTTACTTCTCCATTCCTTTTGTAAGTCGCCTTAGAAATATCTCCTCAGAAATGCCACAACACAAATGATTTAAAATATATGTGCATACAGTGGGGCCCAAAAGTCTGAGACCACTAGTGAAAATGCTTCTATTTTTCATTATTTTTTTAATTTAATACATTTTTTCATTACATTACATTATCAGCATTAAAAAGGAGTGAATAATACAATCTTTGAAATGTATCTTCACCATTTGCTTTAAAGACACTTCAGTTTGTGCAAAAGCCTCTTATGAACTGATCAAATCCACATGAAAGTCGTCTGAACACAAGTTTCAGTGGAAGGAATAAGACTGAAAAAGAAAAATCAGACCTTTTTATTTATATTTCCTTTATCATTTTCCTTGACATAACTTATTTTTTTTTAACTTCTCAAAATTTGAAGACTCATTTGTTAATGTGCAGGTTTACATGAAAAACAAAACCCCATATTTATAATGTGGTCTCAGACTTTCGGACCCCACTTTGTGTATATACTCTCAAATTTAATCACATGCATTACAAAACTATGCTCTTGTGATCCACTATGTTACCAGTAGGAGCTGAAGTGCTGTTAGAGGTGAAATACAGCTGCCGGTTTGTTTACTGCAGCGTTGAGCTGCACTGCGTTTACAGGCTGATAAAGTGACTCCTCCAGTGCGAGCATCTAAACGGCGAGTTATGGACTTGTCCTTGTCCCCCAGCTGCAGAGGGGCATGGCTGTAGCAGCACTGCGGTCTATGGTAATGAATGGAGCTCTCTCGGCCCTGCGCTGCGAGAGCCGAGGCTGAGTTATACTGTCAGCATTCCGGGCCCACGCTGTCCTCACAATGACGGCCATGACGGCCATTGTTAGTGAACGGCCGGCTCACGATGACAGCCAGTGGAGAAGCTGTTATCTCTTCCCTGCTGGTGGAGCGGGACAGAGCTAGCAAGTCAGAGAGAGGTCAGCGGCTTTGACGGCTAATATAATAAGTTCTTCTACAGCTGGGTGAAGCTGGGGGGCTGCCGGTGGCCTGATTAAAGTGCTAATTCTCATTCGCCGCCACAGATTAGCGTGTAATTGTTTTGGGAGAGGGGAGCTCAGCCATTTTCCCCCACAGAAAGACTGAGAAGTCAATTCGCACAGGTCAAAGGCAGCTTAGCTGACATAGTAATGAGATGAATTGTCACACTTCTGCTTTTCCCCACTGAAGGTGAAGTGAATCAAGTGGCAGTCTTTCAAAACCCTTTGAGTTTCTGTTTTTAAGCCAAGGACTCATTTAGATTTTCTGTCTTCTGAGAGCAGATTGGCCTTGCGGGTGTACAGTGTGTGGCACAGATCAGCGAGGCTTACAGGCCTTGGCGAACCCCCTGCTGCTGACGGTTAATGTGAGACATAGAGCAGAAAGTTTCTGCTTCTATAATGTGCAAATAAAGAATACACACTGCAACAAGAAGAACTTTGCGCTCTGGGTACCTGAAGTACGCAACACTTCAGGAACACAGCTGGAAAATTACTCACAGTAAATTTACTGAATATATATTTAGTCTATTTTTTTGCAGAGATTCCGAATCCTGGTCAGAGGACACATAATTAGGCACATTTTGTGCTTTCATCTAGTCTGTCTAGGGGAAAAACAAAAATGTGCCGAGCGCATTTATCTTTAGATGTGTATGGTCTATTAAAGGACTGGTTTGGCAAAAAATAAATGTACATAGATGTCTAATCACTCCATCAATCAAGACATGTTTCGAGTACAAATTTTGCTTCTTTAGTTTGAAATTAGAGTGGCACGACTAACATTTCTAACAAGGAATAGTCACCCAAATGGCCCATATTGTTTCTGTAATAATACATTCCCAAAACTTCTCTCAAACCAGTCAAACTGCATCCAGGCTTTCATTAACGTCGTGCAGACTTCCTGATTTTGTTTAACCCTTTTGTTGCCATATGAAGGCTAAAGCAGAGAGCTAATAGCAGGTGTTACAGTGATCTGGCTGTGTTGTTGTGCTGTATTTCTGGGTTGTGGGATGTTAGAGCAGGTTTCTCTCACTCTGGTTAGTGACGGCAGGCTCCTCTGAGTGATCTGGCTTGTGAATCATGTCGCTTTTTTTAACCCTTTGTTTACATTATGAAGGCTAAAAGCAGAGATGTTATATAACAGTAGCGAGTGGGTTATGGGTGATTTTGGAGCTGGATTTCTGGCTGATGGATGGTCACAGGGCAGAGAGGGCAGAGTCTGATGAGTGATGTGTGAATCATGGTGCTGTTTTAATCCTTTGTTGCATTATGAAGCCAAAACAGAGCAATAATATTAGGATTTTGGGTGATTTTCCTAGCATCAGTGAATTACTCACTGATACTGACATCACAGCTTGATGGCTTGGACCAGGTCTGCTGAATGGTCTGATATGTGTATCATGTAAGTAGCTTAAACCGTTATGAAGTTATGAAGGCTAGAAGTCAACTACATTTTTGCAATTTTTTGCAAATTGCGGGCTTCGGTTTTAAGGGTCTTGTATTCTAAACGCCATAGTGTACCGTCATACTGTAAAAATACGTACATACTGTATGTATTATTATATACAGTATGTATGTATTTTTACAGAAACAATTTGCTTAACTATTAAGTTCTGCTGTTTGTTAGCAATGTTTGCTTGTATCTCTTGTACAAAACTAAAGAAGCAAAATTTGGACATCAAATATGTCTTGGCTAATTAACTACATCTGGGGTAAGTGGAAGATTGGATAAATTTAGATTTTTCATTGAACTATTACTTAAAGCCGAGATTTTCTCAGTTGTATCCTGATTAGCAATCCGCACATACATCTGTGTGCACTTCTGTGTTTTAATCAGGGAAACAGTTTTAAAACTGCTCTGCCTGCTGTGATGAGTCTTTTGGAGCAAGATATGGTAGCTGGACTGAAAAATGTCTGAAGTTCATCTCATCATATCTTTAAAAGGTGTTCGACAGTTTTCTTTGCAGCTTTTTCAGCTGAAGATAACAAGAGATCGCTTGGCTTTACAAGATGATACAGAACAACAGTTTGTGGTGGTTTGTTGTGTGTCAGTCAGGCTGCCCTTTCCTGTCAAAGTAGGCAGTTCTTGGCCACATGATAATAGGCAGAAGTCTGGTTGTGGGACTAACCTTCAGAAAATGTATTTCACATACGATTATATGTGAAGCGTTTGAAAACATGTTCACAAGTAAACTCGTAATATATTGCGAATAATGTGATCACATGACGATGTAGATATGTGACCACATGTTACAAAATTGATTAGTTAGTGAAATTAATCATATACATGATAAAAATCACAAATGAAAACAACAAATATGTTTTATATATGAAATGCAGAAAAAAACGTGAAAACGTGAAACGTGAAATGCAATATTCACATTCACTTTTTCTGTAAGGGTAGGGAACTTCTGAAAAGCCCCTTTCAAACATGCACTTTTACCCCTGAATGTAATGGTAATTAAATGAGAAGTGGGAGCGCATAATCCTGGTAAAGTTGACGCAGCAATTTAACTGCATGAAACCTAGTGCAATACCCAGGAAATTATCAGGAGGGCTCATGTGTGAACATAAGCTGATGG